ACTGCCAGCGTGGAGCCTAAGCAAGAAGAGAGCAGACTCCACACAGGCAATGACGTGTACATGCCGGAGGCGTCGCGCGTAAACGAGGACCGCGTCTTTGGTCTACGCGTGTGGGGCACGTCGTCAGTTTGAGCCAACTGTCACCTAAGATTGTTATTATTTAGAGTGCATTATTTTTTGTTGCCAACTGCATGTCCGTCTATCCCATAAACATCGAATTGGTATTTTACTTTCGTTTAAGTTTTGATCAGTCGCGGACGAACTAGCTGAATTCCCAGTGATAACTGTATTTTTTCCGGATTTTTTTATAGATAAGCACAAAAATCAATCCCCATCGTAAAGGATTGCCTTGGAGTTAATTTTTACTTCAAAAGCACCTAAAAGGCTCCTTCCTCTCAGACATCGCCGGCAATTCTCTTTCATATATTCTTCCTCCCACAACTGTCAGTCTCAAGGTTCTGGATCAACAAGCATTACTGAACGACTTTGCATCGAAAATTATTGCAGAACGGGGACATTAACCTGAGGTATCTGACTCAATCAACAAATCGTGGGGTGGCGGACAAACTCGTTTAAGATTGCTGGCGTGGAGGCGATATCGTGAGAGAGCGGACTCCACGCAGACGATGACGTGCATGTGGGCGACTTCTAAACTCATACTGAGACTGCGCGTTTTATTTACACATAAGATGGCTCCTACCTGTTTTCGAGGTTCTCTGAATTCTTCCTTTATTCACTCCGCCTAGCAATTGATACAGTTATTTGGACAAAAAAACTATTAGCTACCAACGCATGATACTGTTCTGGGTCTGTCGCGCCAAACGCGGTCTCGCGTTATCATGCAGCGCCTTTTCAGCTGACTATCACTGGTTATTGACTACCAAGAACGTGATCCAAATATCTTAATTGCTGAAAATAGAAGCCTATCGGTACGGTCTGACATTGTTTCATGATTTTGTATGGCTTCAACAAACACAGGACAAAACATACTTGGGCAGGATAATGGTGTAGTAATTGGTGTTCGACCTGTGCAGACCCAGTGATGTTCGTGATTGATAGTGGAAAAATCCATTTTTAATGGTAGTGGCACGCTTACCTATCTTTTTTACGTAGATCACCCGTCCGGTTTTGCCCTAGGGCTCTCTTCCTCAAGCCAAACCAGTAGTCAAACAGTGGCGCATGATATAGGCAGGATGTTATTACCGACAGCTTATTCTCCTGATTGCATCGCATAACGTCAGAGATTGTGGCACGTCAGGTTTGGCATCCATCAACAGATTACTTGTGGTCCAAACTTCTTGTCTGCTGATCTTTCCTTGTTGATAAAGATATCCTTGAACAGTTATAAATAACGAATTTAGTTTTCTCGATAATTGTTTGGGAGTCTGAGAAGGATTTTTCACGAAGATCGCACGCGAATGTGCCATTATGCGTTTACATTGTCTTTTCTGGAGGATTAACGTCGCGGAAACCAGAATCACTGTGTCAGAATTTGGCACACCAATCTCGGGACATGCAAACAATTAAAGCACTTAAGTAAACACCAGGACCTGCATTCGTCGTTGACACTAATGATCGCGAAAGAATTGATAAAGCTCGTGAGGAATTACAGGGCATGCTAAATGAAGATGAGTTACGGGATTCCGCCTTGCTGGTGTTTGCAAACAAGCAGGTATGTGTCCGCCAGATTTCAAAGGCAATCGGATTCAAAACGCAGTTTTATTTATCCTGCGACACCACAAAATCCAAGGTCCAACTGTCGAGTAGAAACGACAAACAGGAATTCCGAAAGGCACGCCATCCATTTTTAGTGAAAAATACGTAAGTATTGCGGAATTCGGTGTTTTTTGTTTAGTGACGGTTATACATATCTGCAAAATAACGTTCGAGCTTGATTTTTCATATATGGGTCTCATGTTCAGTCGCATCTTTGGCCGCATATTTGGCAAGAAAGAGATGAGTATCCTTATGGTTGGTTTGGATGCTGCTGTCAAAACGACCATTCTTTATAAATTGAATTTGGGTGAAGTCGTTTCAACAACCCCCACTATCGGATTTAACATTGAAACGGTGCGGTACAAAAATGTCACCTTCATTGTACGGGATGTTGGAGGACAAGATAAAGTACGCCCTCTGTGGCGCTGTTTCTACTATAGCAGCCAAGGCAAAAGTGACTATTTTTTCAGAAGATGAAGATGCGATCACTGGGACAAGAAGTTTATTGGCCTGACGTTTCGGGTTCTCACTCGAGCCCATCATCAGAGACATTCGCAGATAGAGGTAAAGATGGCACAGGAATGCAGTATTTATAGCACGTGGCTGCCGTTAATTAACAGTTCTCACAATCGCCGCTGGGGTCGTAATTGATGCGGCGGTGGCTTGGCGGTCCGAGTCCGAGTTGTTAATTGCCGCGATTTCGTCATCCGTGCTCGATGCTGGTGTGACGATTGCTCTGCAAAGTGGCTCACTGTCACCGTGATAATTGCTCACCCGCGCCCTCCCCACGTGACTGATTCTCCTGCCCAGGGAAAATCGCAAAACGGAATAGGCCACCGGGAGGTCATTGTGTTTGTTGATGGATTGCGGGCCTGAGAACCATGACTCGAGCAGCTCGCGGCTCACGCGGTTGTCACCCCTTGCGAGGATTTCGGCCTCTTGAAATTTGAAATTATGGCCGGGTCCCGTCGAGTGTGCCGCCACCTGAGAGTTAGCGTCTCCCCGCCTCACTGCTGCTGCGTGCTCGGCAAGTCGCGTACGGAGTAATCTCCCAGTTTCTCCGACATAATTGCTTTGTCCGCAACTACACCAGATCCGGTAAACGACTCACAACGTTTCCTGCCGTGGCAGCGGGTCTTTTGGCCTCATTACTTGGCGCCTTATGGTTGCTTCCGGCCTGTGTGCAACACCAACTCCAAGTGGAGTGAGAAGACGACTGACGGCTTCCGAGACGTTCTTCACGTACGGAAGAGCCCGCCAAAATTTGGGGCTAGTTGGATTTGGTCTCTGGTGTCCTTTTCGTATGCACTGGTTGACAAAGTTGCGCGGGTAGCCATTGGCTCTCATTACCCGTCGAAGATATTGTAATTCAGCAACCTTGTCTTCCATTTCACTGCAGTGCGTCTCAACACGCCGGTATAGCGCCCTTACGCAACTGCGTTTGTGACTGATCGGGTGGTTGCTATTGAAGTTCAGTATTTGCGTCGTATTTGTCGCTTTCCTGAACACTTTGGTTTTTAGGCCACCACAATCTTTGCGGCAGACGAGGACATCCAGGAAGGCCAGCTGATTGTTTTCCTCCTCCTCCATCGTAAATTGAATGTCCGGGAAGACGGCGTTGAGTTGTTCTTTGAAAGTCAGCACCTGATCCCGTTCGATGACGACGAAGGTGTCATCCACATACCGAGCCCAGAATTTCGGTCTGTGGTGTCGGAAAACCAGCGACTCCAGCCGTTGAAGGACCGCCTCGGCTATGAGTCCCGAAATCGGCGAACCCATTGGCGTTCCCTTCACCTGCTCGTAGATTGTTCCGTCGAATGTAAAGTACGTCTTGAGACAGAACTTCAGGAGCTGGATGATTTGGGCGTGTCCGAGGCGATTCTCCGTTTCGTCGTACTTCTCTCGTAGGAGTAGTTCGATTGTCTCGACTGCCAGGTCCTGCGGGATAGAAGTAAAAAGGGACGTGACATCAAAGGAAACCATGATATCGCTTGGCAGGAGACTTACTCCTTTAAGTTTCTCCAAGAATTGCGTTGACGAGCTGACTGTGGTGTTCGAATCGGAGGTCAGAAACTTGAGACGTTGGAACAGCCACTTTGCCAGTCCGTAGGTTGGAGTGCCCTTTAGTGACACGATAGGCCGGAGAGGAGCGCCCTCTTTGTGCACTTTTGGGAGACCGTAGAATCGGGCTAGGGCCGTTTCTTGTGCTCTCGCCATGCGTCGGTCGATTGGCGATATTGCACCTGAGTTCTCCATTGCCAACAGCGTCGCGTTAATCTCGCGTGTCAGCGTTTTCATGGGGTTGGATTCGCATGGCACATAGGACTGACGATCATCCAACAAGCTTTTGGCTTTTTGATTGTAGTCTGTCCTGTCCAATACGACCGTTGAACGCCCCTTGTCCGCAGGCACGATAACGAGGTCGTTGTCGGCCCTGAGTTCTTTAAGTGCATCACGCTCGACCTTGGAAAGCACATCGCGCGGCCTATGAGCCATGAGGAGGGAGGACACTTGGTGTCGAATGAGGTTCTTCGTTTCGTCTGTCGCTCCCGTCTGGCTGAGGATTGATTCCACTGCTGCGATCATGTTGGCAGGTTTGGCATCGGCTGTGTTGAATGAGGCCTCATGCCGTAAAACCTGCATTTGTTCCTCCGTCAGCTCCTTTGACGACAAGTTGTGCACCAGTTTGTCGTTCTTGGATGACATTGGAGCAGGCAGCTTACGAAATTTGCTCTCTAGGGCTGCTTCTCGCGTTGCTTTATGTTCGCGGGTTCGTTCGGCCAGCCTCTGCTGAAGCAGTTTTATGCCGTCCTCGCCCATGAACTCGCAGCACCTTGCCTTCTCTTGGTCAATCCTCTGACGGTATTTGCGAATCCGTGAGTGACAGTCTTGAAGGAGCACTCGGATCATTCGTCGGCCGTGCTGAAGTACTGCGCGTCTCGCCAGCTCTGTGTTGACCGGAGGT